GAGAATATCGATCAGAGACCGAAGACTTATCGATCGAAAGTTAGGGGATCCCTCAAAACAGCGCTCTTACTTCATAGTGACACCTTGTGTCCCATCACCAATTAATTAATAACTAATAACTCGCTAATTATACGACATAATTCATCCAAAATCAATAGGCTTCTGGTACGACATATGATGAATGCACATGCAAAATCTGGAGCAGATTCAATCTCGCTTTCGTGAGATATCGCGTGCATCTAACAGACAAACAAACAGACAAGCCGGTAGGCGCCCAGTTGGATCTCTATGGTGGCGCATCGTTGTCACGCGTAAAATTTAAAAAAAAATGAAAAAATAAAATGAAAAAGCGAAAATAAAAAAATAGTTGTGAAAAAACATAAAAATAATTGAAAAAAAAGGAAATGAAAAAAAAAAATTAAAAAAAAAAAACGAAAAAAAAACAAAAAATTAAAAAAAAAAATTAGATAAAAAGAAAATAAAAAGGTTGACAACGATGGTTCGCCTCGTGGCCCATCGTTGTCACGCGTTTTTATTTTTAGAAAATTTGATGTTGCTTGGGACCAACGTTGTCAGGCTTAATCCTACACGCACAAATGTGTTTCCTGGGTTTCTAACTCACTACTGATTTTCATGAGCAATATTTAATAAATTCAACATGAAAATGTTCTATAAATTCTTCATGCTACAAGTTCAACCACAAGCAATATAATTATAATAATGATAAGAGAATATAAAATTGAATACGAAAATTTGTTTTTACGTAGAAGGTAATTTAATTGGAAAATGCTGCTTAACTGCTCAGTTGTCTGGACACTCGTGCGATGCCGGTACGGTCTGACCATGCAATCACTCATGAAAGAATGGGAGATACGGATAGTCTCGTAGAATATAGACTACTGAAACACTCTCTGCGCCTGCCCCATACCGTACAGCCGTAACGTACCGATCCAGACAAATGATAAATCGCCCTTGCTCAACCATTTATTTCAATTCATACCTCGACTCACTATATTCTACTAGGATCGAGGTATGGATTGAAATAAATGGTTGAGCACGGGCGATTTATCATTTGTCTGGATCGGTACTGTACGGTATGGGGCAGGCGCAGAGAGTGTCTCAGTAGTCTATATTCTACGAGACTATCCGTATCTCCCATTCTTTCATGAGTGATTGCATGGCTACCGGTACGGTCAGACGCAAAGGAACTATAACCGACTACCGGTATTTGGTAAGACGGTACCGGCATCGCGAGTGTCCAGACAACTGAGTAGTTAAGCAGCATTCTCCAATTCAATTACCTTCTACACGCGAAAACAAATTTTTCGAATTTTCGTATTCAATTCTATATTCTCTTATCATTATTATAAATATATTACGTCTTGTTGAACTTGTAGCATGGAGAATTTATAGAACATTTTCATATTGAATATTGCTCAAGAAAATCAGTAGTGAGTTGGAAACCCAGGGAACACATTTGTGCGCGTAGGATTATGCCTGACAACGTTGGTCCGAAGCAGAAGCAAATTTTCTAAAAATAAAAACGCGTGACAAGGATGGGCCACGAGGCGGACCATCGTTGTCAACCTTTTTATTTTCTTTTTATTCAATTTTTTTTTTTTAATTTTTTTTTCCATTCTTTTTTTTTCGTTTTTATTTTCAAATTTTTTTTTTTTAATTTTAATTTTTTTTTTCAATTATTTTTATGTTTTTTCACAACAATTTTTTTATTTTCGGTATTTTATTCTTTATTTTCAATTTTACGCGTGACAACGATGGGCCACCATAGATCTCCGCCATTGCTTTGAGGCCCGCATCGTTTCAGTTTACTAACTGATTAGGAGACACTACTAAAAACGCCAGTTCATTTAATTGAACGCTGCGCGTTCCGCTGAGTTCATTTCAAGCGCTGCGCGTTTCGTAGTCTTACTTGCGTGACTGGTATATTGTGACTGAAAATTAAAAAATAATCTCCACTAAAATCCCTGAGGCTTTTCCAGTTTATGGAGTATTGAGACCAAAAACAACCTATTGGAAAGAGTACTTTGCTATGCGGAAGGTAGCGTTCTTGGAATTTTAATTTTCGACTTGGTTGGCGAGTCAAATCTCAAGCAAATAATAATTCCGTATATCAAGAACACCTGCACCGGCTCACCAGTTCCGTTGAGTTCATTTTGAACGCTGCGCGTTCCGTTGACATACTCACGTGACTGATATACTGTGACTGAATGAGAAAATGATGTTCACTGAAATCCCCTAGGCATTATGATTACAACTTAAGCTGAAGGAACATATATACATGCAAGACTCAACATTTTCCCGGTACTTTACGGTCCAATAGGATTATTTATTTATCATATTTATACAACGATGTCTGCTTACCAGTTTGATTCGGATATAGCAATCCTAATTTATAGACTTAAATAGTTAAAGAAACTGTAGCCAGCGTTTAGGTGAACCACCCACTAACAGCGAGAAGTACATCAAATCTCAGGCAAATAATAATTCCGTATATCAAGAACACCTGCACCGGCTCACCAGTTCCGTTGAGTTAATTTCAAACGCTGCGCGTTCCGTTGACATACTCACGTGACTGATATACTGTGACTAAATGGGGAAATTATGTTCACTGAAATCCCTAAGGCTTCTCCAGTTTATGAAGTATCGAGACCAAAGACGACTTATTGGAAAGAGTACTTCGCCATGCGGAAGGAAGCGCTCTTGGAATTTTAATTTTCGATTTGGTTGGCGAGAAAACGGCGATAAACTGTGAAAAAAATAGAAATTTCATAACGATCGGAGCATTTTTCGTTGTTACCATGGAAACGAAACATTTATCTGGACTTTCTATAAAACGCGCATTACTAGGGTGACAGGATAACCCATGTGAAAAATTTCATCCAGATTGGTCCAGCCATTAAGACGCTACATCTAAACAGATACACAGACAGACAGAACGACTGATAATAAGGGTCTCCTATAGAGCGGAGATCCAACAGAACACTGATAATAAGGGTCTCCTATAGAGCGGAGATCCAACAGACACCTATCAACATACTTACCGATTAAAATCGATAAGTAAAAAGTGTGTTCCTTAAAATATAACAACTCGTTTTCTCTCAGGAGTCACAGTTCCGTGCTAGTACAAAGGAAGTAATTGTCATCGTCCTCGTGGCACAAGACATATATATATATGAATAAAGTATGTGATTTAGGGAGAATAAACATGAAACAAAGTGTTTACGGCTTGAATAACACGTCACGCCAACAAAAACAATCGGCGGTTTTAACAAAATGCAATTTCACGCGTTATTAGCGACCTTTCCATTCTTCCCAAAATTTCGGGTTCGAAACTGGCTGCGACACTGAGTCGCCACACATGTCTGAATTGCTAATTTACTAATATCTAATAACATACTCAGTGTATAAAAATATTTTTATCGGGATTGACTGAGATATATACAACAAATATAAAATGCTATGCGCTGGGAAGTCAGGAAAAATATGAACATCGTCACGCTAATAACCGAATTGCGTAAGTCATTTTAGCAGTTTTGAGAAAAACGTAAAAAACTTCCTAATGATATTGTTATGCCATTGAGAGTCAATAATTTTCCATGTTTCAATTTTTTGATCGTAGCCAGAATTAAGTTAATTGGAATGACGCAGTTAAGTGACGTCATAATGGCGCACTGTGACTTAGGCAGACATGTGTCTATTACTTGGGGACATACGCAATTTTGCAACTTTACTATATGTAGAGCATATATGATTGGTAAATGAATGTGGTGTCACCGTATATTGCTATTTCGCAGACCGTCTCAGAACTGTCAGTCGCATCAGAAGGTTGCGTGTTCAAATCACGTCGGAATCACCATTTATAGCATATATGATTGGTAAATGAATGTGATGTCACCGTATATTGCTATTTCGTAGACCGTCTCAGAACTGCCAGTCGCCCGTTCACCCTTCAGCTTCAATGCTCACGTTAATGAAGAAACTTTAGAAAACTCTGATTTTATTCTCAGATTTCCACGATACACAGAATACAAATCTTAAAACATTTATCCAGACTAGCTTCACATTGAAATATATCGAGTCGTATTCATACATTGATCATAAATCTAATTAAATACTATAAACGTGAGCTCGTGATTCACGTTATAAACAGAAACTCCTATTATCTCAATATGGGTAATTATGAACATCGTACGGATGGGAACTTACATATAATTAGTGTTTAAATATCGTGATAAAATAAATTTCAATTTGATAATGGCCGGACGAAACTTGTTATTTTCCTAAAAGTGGATTAATTTGATTCAAACGAAAGTCTTTGTTCGAATTTTGGGGAAAATTACCTTTGTTTTCATATCTTTAACATGAAATGGAGTACATTTGGGGGGTTAATTGCTATATATGCACCAGTCCAGAAAACTAAACATTCCGAAAACAAATGTAATTCTCGGTATCTACAATGTCTAATCCCCAAAATAGCTAATCAGTATCAATTACAATATTTTCATGTTCAAAAATATATATTTCATCAATATAACACGTTCTGCACACCCACCGAAATAAGACTAAGATTAAATATAAAGAACAAAACAGCAATACACCCAATATAAAAGCCAACCAAAGTGAATTGGACTCGGACAGTGAATATCACCAGTGAACGCCTTCCTATACTATAGTATAAATTCAAATTAATACGTGCTAAGCTAGAATCCGAGATGCAAAAACTCGAAAATACCTCGGCGAGGTTATTTTGCCTTTGTGACGTCATAATAGTCCTGCGGTAACAATGATAATTCATTATGACGAAACAATTGCACAAATGTGCATGTCATACTAAATCTCCATTTTTATGGGTTTCGAAATTCCTAAAATAAAATCTAAATTAACAGACAGCATTACATAAATACATATTTTATAAAAAAAACTCAAAATCCCCAAAAATGACTTACGAAATTCGGTTATTAGCGTGACGATATGTTTGAGGGGGTGTTTTTAAACTCCAGTTTATAACTAATTTTTGTTGAATCAGAGATTATATTAGTTAGACCTTTGCAAATTCAAATACAGTATATATGTAATAGTTTGGTTTTGTTCATTTGTCGACTAGATTTATATTGTGCCAAAATTAGATTTTAATGGCAGAACTTGTTGCCCCCCTGACATCATTAATCGATGAACTTGTTGAAATAAAAGCACGAGGCTTGAAGCCGAAACAGAAAATTACAATTCAGTCGCGGCAGACTAGCGAAAAAGGTCAACTGTTTCATGCTCTTGCTCACTACATCACGAGTGAAACGGGTTTAGTGACTGTGTCCAGCGATGAGTCACTAGGTGGAAGCTATGTCGGCGTTGAACAAATGGGTTTGTTTTGGTCGATGAAGAGGCCAAGCTACGTTGGTAAAAGTTATGGAACTCTAACAAAATACAATTTGGTTGTACCGGCTGAAATTCAGTTGCATTTGTACGATAACTTTCTACAAGAAGAAGATATTTGGAACTTTAAACCAATCGCCTCTCTAACAATAAAACGGCAGTATATCTGCAAAACAGTACACAGGATACAAATTAACAACGGTGACATATGCGGTACACTTTTTAGACCCCGTTGTACGCAAAAGTTACCCGGGGTTTTATATATCGACGGATATCATGGCGGTGTCGCGGAGTTCCGTGCATCACTTTTAGCAAATCACGGGTTCGTTGTTCTTGTGCTGGGATATTTCAAATGTGATAATAGACCAGATGAATTGAAGTATATAGACCTTGATTACGTACAGCGTGGAGTAAACTTCCTGGTGCGTCACGAAAATGTTCTTGAGTGCGGTATAGGAGTTGCCGGATTCTCACTGGGAGGAACGATAGCTTTGGCAATTTCGGCGTTCTCACCGAGCATCAAGTGTGTCGTTAACATATGTGGTATGACATACGCTTGCTTGGGAATTGACATTCATTACAGAAAACGAGTTTGGAAGTCGGTCGAATTCGATGAGCAGAAAATATCAATTAACAATGGCTTTCAAAACCACGCCAAAACTCATACTATACCCTCCGTAGTTGAAACTGAAAAACACATGCCCCATTTCTTCAAGTCCGACGCATCGTTTCTTTTTATCTATGGAGATGATGACGGCATAATGGATTGCGACGAAAATATGTCTATTGCAAAACAGCTCTTCCAAACATCGGGGCATAATTCGTGTAAATTTGTAAAATATACAAATACTGGGCATTTAATTTGGCCCCTTTTATTCCTCCAATTATATACCACTATCACTCAAAAGGGCATCCCGGCATACCAACTGATTTCGGGGGCATTATGAAATATCATTCTGATGCTCAAGAAGAATCGTGGAAGGAAATAATCACGTTTTTGAAGGGAAACCTTGTTTTTAAAGTCAAGGGATAGAGTTTTTCATTTATTCGACCGTATTGAATTATGTAATCTTACAAATATTTCAGCCAAGGATTATTGACCTGATTAAAAATAAACTGGTTAAAATCTGCAACAATTTTTTTAAATTAAAATACGACTTATAAATATATATAGAATTGAACGCCGAATCCACAAGGCTTCAGCCCACACTGCCTAATGGTACATCCGGCCTTGGCTGTATCGCATTTGTGTCCAGCTCAATATCTTCATCGTATATCTCAGCTTGTTTGTTTTCTTCTTTTTTTCATCACGGAAAACGTTTTTTTTTTAGAAGCCAATCGTTTGAGTTTAGATTATTTACTATATATATCTGGTTTTTGTATGTACTGAAAATATAAAGAAAACAAACCCTGAAATGCATTATTTCCCTCTCTCTTCCTATCTCGTTCTGTATGTACAGTGTGTATTTCTTATATGGTGATAAAATAAATTACTGATTACTGAAACCCAGCTGCGGAGAATTTGAATAATAGAGCATATGCTCTTTTGGGCTACTCAGCACATGCAACTTATCATGACTGTGCTGCGTCCAGGGCTGGTTTAGCAAATTAAACACATGCTTAGGGCACCAAGTGAAAGGGGACACCACAAAAATAGTTCAATGAAATGATTCGAGTTGGTCAGACGATCTTGGCCCGGTTGAAATCAATTTTGCTTGTTTTACAAGTATCATCATGGACCTCTTTATAAATGTTTGAGAACTTTGAGACAAGAGAACCATTTCCAAAAAAATATCATGTAAATTAATCATAATTTGGCCTTCAATCAGTAATGAATATTGAAACATACTTATTCCCTAGTTACATTCGTATTATTATTAGTTTTCAAATATAGGGCACCAAATTCTCAAGTGCTTAGTGCCTTTAAGGGAATGACTCTCCCTTCGCATACACGCCAAGGGTGTATAGGCAATGCCGTACCGCAATACCAAAGTTGTAGACTCTTACGTATCAGTGGAAGCCTGTAAACAGTCTTGTTCAAGTTGAAAGCGCGAAAACGCCGGATAATAATAATATATTGCACAAATTTAAAAAGCCATGAATCTAATAATACGAGATAGCAATCAGAGACCGGGCATGGCGCGGCGGTGTGGCTCAACGGGCTAAGCGTTAGGAATACGCTCGCCACCGCACCTCTAATTACTCTGCGTGGGTTCGCAGGTTCGAATCCCATGTAGGGATGGTTATGTGCGAGAGGATTGCTGAACTCCTCGCCGTCGTTGGGTGGTTCACGTAACCGCTGGTCGGTTACGGCTTCCTCCACCACCAAGTCCATGCTTCCGAAAACAAACAATACAGTAAAAACTAATCCCATACCCGACTTGGAATGGTAACCGGACGAGAGGCCGTGGTTCGCCATATGGATAAGCCGTCTTATCGGCTTTCCTCTCCCCCGGGATAAATATGTAAATCCTATCCTCCTATCCTATCCTACCGCCATCGATCTAGCGGTGTGTATACTGCGCTCTGACTCAATAGCGACACCGCGTGTCACATCACTAATTAATTGATAACTCGCTAATTATACGACACAATTCATTCAAAATATGGTCCAAGATATGATGCTGCACTTGCAAAATTTGGATCAGATTAAACCTTGATTTCGTGAGATATCGCGTCCATCTAACAGACAGACAGACAAATACCTATCAACATACTACCGATCTTAAGATCGATAAGTAATAAGTCGTTACGTGTAGTAATGTATACCCTGGTTACAAACAATTCAAAATATGTGAGAAAATCGCGGAACAGCCAAAGTGACTCAGGGCTTCAATTTCCATACGTGCGAAAGTCCTCCTGATAGACAGAGAAATGGGACAGCTAGATTCTCTTAACAGGAGCTGTTGAATTTGGGCATTTTACGTTACCACAAAAGTTTTAGTAGCTAATATTGTTAAAGGATTGTAAAGTTATATTGAAGTACGTTTAGTTATAATGGGGTATCATTATCAATTTGAACAGTGTAAGATATGAGAATCGAATTATTTATGGATCGCAGTCATAGCTTGATCATTAGATCACTTATCTTGTCAAGAAAAGTCTTTGACATCTCTTTGCAGAGGCAAAGAGTCAGCAAGGAGAAATAAAAAGAAGCTAACAGAAGAGGGTCAGCCAAATTTGGATAGCATTGACAGAAAGGGTAAGGGAGAGCTAACGAGCGTTACAGAATACAAACAGAAATTAAAAAAATTCGATTGTATTGTAATTTATTTTTGTATTAAGTCATGAAGGAGATATTCGAGCTTTGGCCAAACAGGGCCGGATCGCGGCCTTTAGATGCCCTAAGAACCTAAACTTTGGTGTCCTATATACAAAAAATATTAATATTAGTAATGTTCCGTGTCATCTAATTTTAAAATTGAAGAAGGTATTTTCAATATTCATTACTGATCGAGTTGAAAAATTTGAGTACTCTGTCCTTCTAAACTATATTGTGGTCCAATAAAAAAGAAAGCCGGTTTGCGCATCACACTTAGCTTCACTTAACAAGATTTCGTCTCCCACAAAATAAATTCAATCCCAAAACACAATTACAATAATTATTATGCATAGAATGTAATTAAACGATAGCTTTGGCAATTTCGGCGTTCTCACCGAGCATCAAGTGTGTCGTTAACATATGTGGTATGACATATGGTGATAAAATAAATTACTGATTACTGAAACCCAGCTGCGGAGAATTTGAATAATAGAGCATATGCTCTTTTGGGCTACTCAGCACATGCAACTTATCATGACTGTGGCTGGTTTAGCAAGGGCTGGTTTAGCAAATTAAACACATGCTTAGGGCACCAAGTGAAAGGGGACACCACAAAAATAGTTCAATGAAATGATTCGAGTTGGTCAGACGATCTTGGCCCGGTTGAAATCAATTTTGCTTGTTTTACAAGTATCATCATGGACCTCTTTATAAATGTTTGAGAACTTTGAGACAAGAGAACCATTTCCAAAAAAATATCATGTAAATTAATCATAATTTGGCCTTCAATCAGTAATGAATATTGAAACATACTTATTCCCTAGTTACATTCGTATTATTATTAGTTTTCAAATATAGGGCACCAAATTCTCAAGTGCTTAGTGCCTTTAAGGGAATGACTCTCCCTTCGCATACACGCCAAGGGTGTATAGGCAATGCCGTACCGCAATACCAAAGTTGTAGACTCTTACGTATCAGTGGAAGCCTGTAAACAGTCTTGTTCAAGTTGAAAGCGCGAAAACGCCGGATAATAATAATATATTGCACAAATTTAAAAAGCCATGAATCTAATAATACGAGATAGCAATCAGAGACCGGGCATGGCGCGGCGGTGTGGCTCAACGGGCTAAGCGTTAGGAATACGCTCGCCACCGCACCTCTAATTACTCTGCGTGGGTTCGCAGGTTCGAATCCCATGTAGGGATGGTTATGTGCGAGAGGATTGCTGAACTCCTCGCCGTCGTTGGGTGGTTCACGTAACCGCTGGTCGGTTACGGCTTCCTTCACCACCAAGTCCATGCTTCCGAAAACAAACAATACAGTAAAAACTAATCCCATACCCGACTTGGAATGGTAACCGGACGAGAGGCCGTGGTTCGCCATATGGATAAGCCGTCTTATCGGCTTTCCTCTCCCCCGGGATAAATATGTAAATCCTATCCTCCTATCCTATCCTACCGCCATCGATCTAGCGGTGTGTATACTGCGCTCTGACTCAATAGCGACACCGCGTGTCACATCACTAATTAATTGATAACTCGCTAATTATACGACACAATTCATTCAAAATATGGTCCAAGATATGATGCTGCACTTGCAAAATTTGGATCAGATTAAACCTTGATTTCGTGAGATATCGCGTCCATCTAACAGACAGACAAATACCTATCAACATACTACCGATCTTAAGATCGATAAGTAATAAGTCGTTACGTGTAGTAATGTATACCCTGGTTACAAACAATTCAAAATATGTGAGAAAATCGCGGAACAGCCAAAGTGACTCAGGGCTTCAATTTCCATACGTGCGAAAGTCCTCCTGATAGACAGAGAAATGGGACAGCTAGATTCTCTTAACAGGAGCTGTTGAATTTGGGCATTTTACGTTACCACAAAAGTTTTAGTAGCTAATATTGTTAAAGGATTGTAAAGTTATATTGAAGTACGTTTAGTTATAATGGGGTATCATTATCAATTTGAACAGTGTAAGATATGAGAATCGAATTATTTATGGATCGCAGTCATAGCTTGATCATTAGATCACTTATCTTGTCAAGAAAAGTCTTTGACATCTCTTTGCAGAGGCAAAGAGTCAGCAAGGAGAAATAAAAAGAAGCTAACAGAAGAGGGTCAGCCAAATTTGGATAGCATTGACAGAAAGGGTAAGGGAGAGCTAACGAGCGTTACAGAATACAAACAGAAATTAAAAAAATTCGATTGTATTGTAATTTATTTTTGTATTAAGTCATGAAGGAGATATTCGAGCTTTGGCCAAACAGGGCCGGATCGCGGCCTTTAGATGCCCTAAGAACCTAAACTTTGGTGTCCTATATACAAAAAATATTAATATTAGTAATGTTCCGTGTCATCTAATTTTAAAATTGAAGAAGGTATTTTCAATATTCATTACTGATCGAGTTGAAAAATTTGAGTACTCTGTCCTTCTAAACTATATTGTGGTCCAATAAAAAAGAAAGCCGGTTTGCGCATCACACTTAGCTTCACTTAACAAGATTTCGTCTCCCACAAAATAAATTCAATCCCAAAACACAATTACAATAATTATTATGCATAGAATGTAATTAAACGATAGCTTTGGCAATTTCGGCGTTCTCACCGAGCATCAAGTGTGTCGTTAACATATGTGGTATGACATACGCTTGCTTGGGAATTGACATTCATTACAGAAAACGAGTTTGGAAGTCGGTCGAATTCGATGAGCAGAAAATATCAATAAACAATGGCTTTCAAAACCACGCCAAAACTCATAC